TTGATCTAGACAATTAATACTAAGTATTAATCATGTTGTCCGGTATGTCATTGGTCCCTTGATGCTTCGTCCGATTCTTCGGTGCATCATCCTCTCTTACGGCCTATTACCCAATCGGCTAGTTGACTCCGCAACTCCGATATCCTTGGCGCAATATCCGCTCTTCTTGGCATGATGCCCGAATCCATGGCCCGAAGCCTTTTGTCGATACATCGACCGATCCTCCGGCTCGACATCCAATCATCTGACATGTTTTCCTCTGGCCCAACATGATTCTTCCTGCTTTAATTATCTCATCCTGATCAAAGCATCCTACGTTACTCAAAACACAGATTAAATTATAAATACTCATCAATTGGTTTCATCATTAAAATCCAAGATTCAACATATAGTATCATCAATAGTAACTGAATACCACAAGCTTCACAAAAAACCTTTGATTTCCTTTGATGTGAATTCTACTCCATGATTCAATCGTAAAACTTTGATAGCATAGCTACTTTGGTTCTCCATTTATGCTTCGAACTTCTTGAATGATTCAAAATCCTCAAATTTCTCCTTTAGGAAATGAACCCATGTTTTTCTCCTAAAATTATCAATGAATGTTAGAAAATGATGATACTTACCATAAGAAGTTGACGATATTAATCCACATATATCGGGTGTGGGTTAGCTCAAAGGCCTCTTTGTATAATTTGTTGATTCATTTGGAAAAATCTTCCTTAGTTATTTCCTAAGAATACATGCTTTATAAAATTGATTTAGAGAGTTAATGTGTGGTAGTCCTTCCACCATCCTTTTGTTTGAAAATAAGTTGAGTGCACCAAAGTTAAAATGTTCAAGCCTTAAGTATCATATCTAAGAGCTATCTTTTAAGCTAACATTTTAGCATTTATCGTTAACATGCTTTATGTTAAATAATTTTTTTAGTCATTTGCACTTGCACAATTGTCTTTGTTTTTTAATTTTTTAGTGTGAGAGTTATATTCTCCATGTGCGCATTATATCCTTCCTTCAAAAGTTATCTTAAACTTAAAATGTTTATCTTCATGTTAAGCATGTAATAGACATTAGCAATAAAATGATGATTCTATTTTTGGCTTACATAAGAATTTTATTTTTTTCCTTTATTTCCACGCTTGAGAAGTCTCCAAAAAATACTTATCTATTGTCTTCTTCATCTAGCTCCATAAATATATACTTTCGCCCACACATATGATTGCTTGCTCTACTATCCAATTAGCAAAGGTCTTCCTTTTATACTAGTAATAAAATAAAATCATCCTCTTTTTTATCCTTTTTTACATAGCTAGTTTTCTCAACAACTTGGTTAGAATCATTATACCAATATTCTGATGAATTATGACCAATATTATCATAAGTATAATAATAAACTTTGGATTTGTTATACCTTGAAGAACCACCTCTTTCACCTTTTTTTCTTAAGGTATTCTTTATCATCATTGTTGTGTTGTGCTTATTCTTGGCCTCTACCATGCCTAGGATCATGACCATTATGTCTTTATGTTCTTTCTCCTTTAATATCTTCATTCTTATCTTTAAGAAATAGATTTCTTTGAAGAACTTGTTCTATTTATTCTTGATTTTTTTGAATTATTTGTTTATGAGCTTATAAGGAGCTCATAAGCTCATCAGTGGTCATGACTTCAAGATCCTTTGATTCTTCCATGGCCATCATAACATAGTCAAACTCTGTATCCAATGATCTTAGGAATTTCCCCACTACTTGATTATCTAGTAATATCTCATTATTTTTTCTTAGTTAGTTAACAATGATCAAGATTATTATGAAGTAGTCGAAATGGACTCCATCTCCTTCATCTTCAATGCTTTAAACTTACCCCTTAGATTTTGGAATCATACTTTCTTCACCTTTTCTATTCTTATATAGGAATTTTAAAAGATTTCTTATGCTTGCTTGAAGTTGGCAGTGATGACGATCTTTTCAAATGCTCCTTCATCAGGCCATTGATAGATCAAGAAAAGAGTTTTCTTTTCTCTCTTTCTCATGTCTCTTCAAGAATCTTTTTGACTCCTCATAAGTATAGCTTTATCTTGGGGCTCAATGTATCAATTTTCTATTTCTCCCACACATCTTGTGATCCAAGTAAGGTTTTCAATTGATGCTCCAATTTTCATAATTGTTAGTGGGACAGAAGATAGTGAATGACATGTTGGTAGTCATCTTGACTTTGATACTACTTTGTTAGATATTGTATAGAGTTGTGGAAGAAGAGTGGTTGAGGAAGAAGATACAAGTCTAACTTTGTTGGGTTCAAATATTTAAGCTCATGATCATAATGACATTCTCTTATCTATTTATAAGAGATGAGAGTATAAGACTATATTCATAAAAAATAAAAAAGTAAGGATTCCCTAACTTTCAAGATGATATCTTTTCTCTTTATAAGACATCTTGACAACTCCTTAGATATATGAACTTATGAGGGATTATAATATCTTCCAAGAGGATTTTACCTTCTTCTAAAATATCTAAGATATTCTTCAACTTTAAAAAAGATTCATGCCTTTTTTAAGATTTCAAAATCTTTTTTCATCCAAGATGATCAAGTAAAACAATCTTTGAATAAATTAAGCTTAATCTCAACATATGCTTCCCACGTCACTAGTGATGAAGGCATTCAACATGGGGGGGGGAGGAGCTGGCAAACAGCATGGAGGACGATGTGGTGAAGATGATGATGTACCTGGCCAATGATGAGTCTCGATATGTGAGTGGGCACAACTTTGTCATGGACAGGCAATTCTTGACTCGAAACCCCTTGTCGAGCTTGGCTTGCTACTCCATCTCCAAACATGAGTAATGTTAAGTGACATGCTACTACTGTGTTTGATTTCTTTATGCATGATTGCTTCCCCCACAATATAATATATAAGGTTCTATATTCACCAACAAAATAAGTTTCTTGATTTGGGTTATAACAAACAGTAGATTCTATCTATTATCCTTTCTATGGTAGACGATATGTGAAAATTTTAAAAAAGATAAGAAAAAAAAGATATTCTCCAATTATCATACTTGTGACAAGTTCGAATATTAGCTTGGATGTTAGACATAGACTAACACCGAACCCCTAACCCCTGATCGCTTTACAAGTCAAATAATAGTGAATATATCCAAAAATTCTATGATGTGGTTCATAAATTTTTCTTCCAAAACATAAACTTTTATCATAAACCTTGTCTCTTCTTCTTCTCTATATTTTGGTAGTGATGGGTTCATATAACATATGAGTGAGGAGAGGCATCGAGGACCATCATATAATACTTAGGAATGACTTGTCATCAGCATTCGAACAATCTTCCTTTCAAAATCTCCATCAAAGGTCCTTTATTTCATCCTTGATGTTACAAAATTCATGAACCTAATTAAATCTTAATACTCAATGGAATATTATAAATCTATAGTCAAAATTTCATTATCTTCATATGCAACATGGGCATTACCAATTATCATGTTTATCATGATCATGTGTTTAAGAAGCATTCATAGGGATGAAAAATATGTTGTCAAAAAGCCCTATTCCAAAATTTTACATTTTGGGGCATGTAATAATTTCTGTGAAGTCATATAATAATTGTTCAATTTGCATTAAGGATTTGTGCTATAGGACATATTTTTTAATCTGATCTTGACTGATGAACGGTTAATGATTGCAAATACATTTTTTTCTCGTTTGTTTACTAGCAGCAATAAATCCCATTTAAAATGAATTTATAATGGAAATTTTTTATACATATTTATTATTGCAAATTTGAAAATAGCATATTCATCATATAAACTTCAATAAAGCTTATGTGTGTGTGCACTATTGTCCACATCCATAAGGTATAGGTTTGTCACTTCTAACTACAACTTATATTACTTTGCTAGAGCTCAAAAAATATTTAAAATACCTAAAATACATCTTTTTTTTATCATCCTAGTTAGTTATCGAATGATATTATTTTCAATTAGAGTTTTAAATAATAATAAATCTACAGTAATTAATAGAGATTAACCACAATAACTTATGCACAAAATTTTCAAGTCTTCCAAGAATGTATATATATATATATATATATATATATATATATATATATATATATATATATATATAGAGAGAGAGAGAGAGAGAGAGAGAGAGAGAGAGAGAGAGAGAGAGATTCCCCTTTATGATAAAGAAACATTTCTTTTCTTAAAGTTTAGCAATGAGCAATCTCATTTGGACTGATTTGATGGCACAACCATCTCAAACCTAGCTATGGAAATAAATTAAAATTTGTTTTATTTTTTGTTTGATTTAGTTCTTAAAAATTATTATGATTTTTTTTATAAATATAAATGGTTGAGACGAGATTCATTCATAACACCTTGCTATTAATAGTCGAAGAATTTTATCATATTAATTTGTCGGTAGTACATAATTGCTTGTTGATATCTCATTGTAAAAGCTAATTTATAATGGACAAACTTCCAATAATATGATATTATTTCTCAGGTCCAAATTTAATCCATGGGACGTGGATTATTAATGATATGTTAGGTTTTTATTAGAAAATTAACGGGATGTTGAACATTGTATTTGTAGAAACTTCTAAGGCACCAAATTGTTGTTTTCCCATGGGCAAAAAAATAAAATTAAAAATATTTTTTAATTAACGGATTTTCCGATTCACTGGAAATTCAACATAATAATATATTTTTTTTGTCACAAATGTGTAGGATGAAAACCTTAGGAGTGTATTAATGTATCCTCTTCATGGATCGGAGGAAGGCAAACATGCGACACTAGTGATTAGACCTTGTGTTCTATTGGAAATTACTTCTCAAGATTTAGTGTATTGATGTATTCATATCATAATGATGTCACATATTCGTATTTCTAAGAAGAAAATCAAATAAATTGTTAATAAAAAAAATTTATAAGGGAAATCTTATCTATCAATAATAACTCGACACATGACGAGACACTATCAGCAGTGAAGAGATAGAATCTGCCCAATGATCGAGCCACGTGGATGATTAAGAAACAAAGGCAGTCATTCCTTTGGTGACTCCTACGCCATTTGTCCCACATCTGCAATTCAACAAACTCCTTCCCGTGCATCTCTGGTACACGGTTTGTGGACCTCCGTCGCAATATTAAATAGAACGGCGATATGGCCTCCATCGAGGTCTCACAGTCGTCCATCAGAAGATGCTTCCGTAGTTTAAGCCGTCCATCAGACGAATCATAGAAAGAATGCGCAATCCAACAGCTCTCCTATCCTTCCACCGTTTCCAGACGCAGCAGCAGGAAAAGGAATGGCCCTGCGACAGCGAGGCTGGAGCTGGAGCTCCGCCCTGGTGGGCGCCGCCTCGGCTGCGGCGGCCACCGTCGTCGTCCTCGGTCGGCCAAGAGACCCCACCTTCCACCTCATCTCCATCACCCTCTCCTCCTTCCGCCTCAACCTCCCCCTCCTCGACGTCGACCTCACCCTCACCGTCCACGTCACCAACCCCAACCTCGTCCCCATCCACTACGCTTCCGCCATCATCTCCATATTTTACGCCGGCTCCCACCTCGGCTCCGCCCTCCTCCACGCCGGCTCCCAACCCGCCATGTCCTGCCAGCTCCTCCACCTCCCGGCCCGCCTTTACGGCCTCGAGCTCGCCCACCACGTCCCGAGACTCCTCGCCGACGCCGCCCGCCGTCAGATGACCCTCGACGCCTCCGTTGACATCTCCGGCACCGCCCAAGTCCTCTGGTGGGCGCACCGCTTCAGTGTCCACGTCGACAGCCATGTCGTCGTCGACCCCATCTTCCTCGACGTCATCGACCAGGAGAACCACTCCGAAACCCATCTACACCTCTCGTAATCGTACATATCTCATCGACGCTGTATGGTGTTGCAAATGGACGACGGATGTCAAACTGTTCGACATCATTAGTCGATTAGCTTCCGTAGTCTGAGCTTTCTTTTTGACTTGGCTCGTTTCCACTGGGTGTTCTCTGCAGAACTGTATGTGCTCCTCCAGCCTACGGCTAATTGGGCAAACAGGATATCAACTGAAGGCTATTATTTGAAGTCATTCGCAGCATGAGGTGCAAGAATTCTCTACACACCCGAATACACGATCAAGATTGTGGGCAATTAATCGAAAGCCAATCTTTAGATAGATCATTATCAACCAACCACACAGGCTAGCGGAAGAGGACCTCCAGTGGCAATGATTGCTCCACAGCGTTGCATGAAATCATCATGGAACACAATTTGGTATGCTGTTCCCAACAGCTTCGTCAGCCAAAAATACAAAAAGAAGAAACAGATAACTACTCTGATGCTCAATCTTGGAACATGTTTCACGTTGTCCTTTTCGTTTCTGCGTATCGAAGTTTAAAAGCCGACGAACAAATCCTTTGTAGTTTATCATGATGCATAATATAAAGATTATGCACACCAAACACTAACCACGTAATTCAAACTCTAAATCGCACACATGATGCTTTAACCATCCGGCTAGATGTAATTGTGTTTGGATGGTGTGATACATGTCAACAAGAAATAACATCCTTTCCGAAAACAATAGCTAAACTTGGAAGATAGAAATAACATCCTTTCACAAATTGGCAACTGTTCGTTGAGGAACGACGCCGGTCACCAGAGCTATCAGTTGGAATCATGCCTCCTCTTCCCCTTCTCTCTGTGGCGATGCTGATGCTTCTGCTTCTCACTTGGATCATGAAACCGTTTTTTCTCGTGCTTCTCCCGTCTCCTCTTCTCATCTCTCCTCTCTTCACACATCTTCACCTCATCTCTCCTCTCTTCGTGCCGTCTCTTCTTCCTGAGGTCTCCCTCGGAGAGTTCTGCATCGCTTGCTACAGTGGGTGCATCATCATCCTTGCCAGGTGCAATCTCCTTCAAGTGGTCTGGTTGTGAGCTTGACTCTGGGTGGTTTAGAGGCAACCTGCAGCAACACGTGGAATTTTTATTCAACAAGATGGCAAATACATGTTTTGTTGGACATCATTAATACAATCTTCAAATCATTTTCTAAAGCAACTTGATACAGATAACTCAGGTTCAAAGGCTTTATTTAAGTTGATGAGCTATAGGAACATCGGGAGGAGCCAACAAAATGATTGCCAAGCTTAAAGCAATTGTAACAAGAATCTTACTTGTATAAGCCAAGGCCTTGGACTTGTGCTGCCTCAGCATGGCCAGCGCCCAAATCCTCTGCAGTGGATCCTCTCTTTATAAGTTCTGCATACTCATGCTTATCTAGCCGGTTGCCTTGAGACCGGCTAGCACGCTTGGGTGCCAAACCAAGAGCCTCACGCATCGCCTGTTCTTCTTCTTCCTTGACCCTTCTTATTTCCTCTTTGATTGCATCTGATTCTGCTCCATCAGATTTCTTGTCTCTGGCGTACCAGAATAGATCCTTCCCTGATGGAAGATGATAAAAAGAATATCTAACATCTATTGATCTGAAAAACAATGATCATAACTCCGAAGGCAAGGTTCAGAGCAGATAATTCAGCAATACATATAATATTTGCACATCTTGTAAAGAATTGCTTTGAAATAACCACAACATTTCCAAATGCAGCTATTCAAAGTAGATGAAGTTGGGTTGGATGCAGCAATATTTGATGTTTATAGGTGACTTGGTTCTAGGCTTCTAGCAACACCTATGAAGACAGGTGCAAGGTGATCCAATGCCAACCAAAATAGGCACAGCAAAGAAAAACATAATGTTGCATCCAACCCTAAACCAGATCAAGGCTCCAGCTAATATTTTGAATAAAGAAGAGAAAGGAGAAATAAATTACATCAGTTTTGAAAGTTAGAGAAACATGCTTATGAGGTAAAAGAATCACAGACCTATGTAGCTTAATTTTTTCTTAAAGTTGAATTTTTGGACTTGCATATACACTGCATGTAAGAAATTACCCACGATGTAGTCATTGATTTTAGACTGGGAAAATATCTTGATATAAATGAACTTTCAGAAACTAGGTTTATATTCATGTCCAAACTAATAATACTAAGAACCTCTTGGTAAGGTAAGAAGAGCAGATCCAAAGGGCGTAGTCCTAATTCTAGGAAGGAAATGAATATGGTCCATCATCCCAACTAAAATAATAGATTCACAGGATAACCAAACATATTCAGCAGTGTCACCGATTACAAATTCTTAATATCTTCATGAAAAAGATGGGTACGATCTCAGTCAATCTTTTATTGTATCAAATTATGATCCCCATAATTCTGTCAGTTAAACCATGTTGCAGCATGTTTAAATCTAAAGGAACCATAAACTGAGCATCACATTTGAAAAGACAAGTGTCAATTAAAAGGAGTTATCAGAACTCAATATTATGTCACTGATGGTTACTTAAGAGAACTTTGAGTTAGTGACAATGAATTACTGCTGGAGCATGCGATGCAAAACAAAGTTGACTACAGTGGAAAATAGTTGAAGTGTGCAAACGGTAGTAACAAAAAGCCAACAGATTTGTAGCATTTGCAACTGACAGATGCAAAGATTACAAGCCTTTGCAATAATATATACAAGCAACAGCCTAAGTTATAACAAATCCATACAGATAAACTAATGCATTACCTTTTTGCCATCTACCGACAGGAGCCTTGATACTATGACCAAGATAGTTCTCACGATGCTTATCAACCTTCACATCATCCCACTTGAATTCTGTGATAAAATATCAATATATGAAATAAAACTCTCCAAATTAGGGTCGATTTTGATGGAATATAAAAAAAATAGCAAGGAACTGTCCATTTGAAGGCATAGAGTTATTTGAAATTAAAAAGAAGAAAAAACTTCCTCAGGCAGTATTATAAAAAATTTAACGCATAGGCCGCACAAAGTATCAACAAAAGGAAATAGTCACATATAACTGTAGCACATGTAAAGAAAAACAACCAGAACATCATTTTTTTATGTAGTTGGTAGATAGAATTCATGATAGGCATATTAGATCAAATATAAATTTCAGAAAAAACCCAAATATTTTTGTAACATGGCAATATTTGAGAATTCAAAAACTTGACCAAACTTGAAAGCCTTATGAGTGTGTTTATTCAACTGGGAGGCATGATAAAGCTTAAGATAACAATAAATAGACACATAATCAGATATATTTATACACCATTACAAAGATTATGATTATGCTTATGTGATTTAGATCCAAAAGTTCACAAATAGAATAACACTGGACACTTACAAGTCACAATTCTCACACAAGAAATGAATAATAGAGATGAACAACAGAAATGAAAGCTAAAAGGGCCTAAAACTAAATACCCAACAATCATCACATCACATATAGATTTTAGGACAAGGCATTCAGTCTCACTGAAATGAATACATATGGAACAAACAGCTGCAAACTCACAAAAGCTGTAAGCTTAATTTTTTCACATTTTACATATAAATTTTATAACAAAGCATTTAGCCTCACTGAACTAAAGGCATTTAGTCTCACTGAGATAAATATATATGGATCAAGGAACTGTAAACTCACAAAAGCTGTATGCTTAATTTTTTCACATTTTACATTTGTAACAAAATATTTCCAATCTTGAAGATCCACAAGCTTATGTATATTATAAAAAGCGATGTAGAAGCAAATGAAATATCCTATCCTCTTCACATCTCTCATGTATTCATATGTTAGTCCATGTGGCATAAAATAAAAACAGAAGATTTTTCCTTGCCCAATTTCAACCCTGATTTACCACTTACTATAGCAACCCTGATTTACCACTTGCTGAATGATAACAAAGAGCAATAGACAAGATGATAATTGCCAGGTGTAACACAATGTTGCAAATTCAATTGGCACAAAATATAGACAAACCTATCTAGTTAAAAAAATACTTCTACCCACAGTTAAGTTATTTTTTGCAATGTCATGCTAGTTAGTTGTAGGATATAGCAATGAAGTTCAGTGTTTCTATCAGCTTTAATTAGAATCTCCGAAAATGACACAATCTGTTTCAACCCCTTCCTAAACGTTTTAACCACTGAAACAAGAAAGGGGTGAAGAAAAAAGAAGAGAGATGCGGCCTCAGCTGACACTGAGAAAAGTGGACCAGGGAGTTTCATGGAAGAGCACAGCAATGACATAGCGATAAGTGCTGGTGGTGCTTTTTCTTCAAAATTTGAGAGCTACAAGGGAATATGGGAGACAGGAACATGGTTGTAAAAGAGAGGGAAGTGATCGCTGCGGCCAGGGATACAGGAAGACAATGGTCATGTAGCAAAACAAGGAACTAAAGTGAGTGTGGACACATAGTAGAGCTTTTGGAGGGAGCATGGCTGAGAAGGCACTTGAGAGCATGGTGGATCATTGTAGACATATGTAGACAGGAAACAATGAGTAAACAAAGAAGCTCAAAATATCAAAAGAGTCCATTTGCAGCAATATTTTGTCATTTGAGAATGTTTTCTTTTTTCCTCATATCATAACTCTTATTTAATAGCTTAACCCACATACTATACTTTCTAAAATTCTGTGGTTTCAACAAATTGGTTATGAAGTTCCTTCAATGTGAGACAACCAGAGCTCTTAGGTCCCAATTTCACACCCTCAACAATATGAAAAGTATGCCATTCAACTCAATTGACATCATAGAAAAAAACAATTCAACACAGTTATACAATGTAAAGACGATGATAACACAACAACAGAAAAACTTTCTTCACTTCCAAGCAAGATGCATTTTCTAAGTCTGGCGTGTTTCAAAAAACTAGAAAACATACTGTAGCATAATTGGAGTATGATAATTTCTGTTAGATGGTTACTGATTTCTAGCATATTCCTTCTTTCTAAACGAAATGCAATGCTGTCATACAACATTTGCTGCTAAATGTGGAAGATTGCTAGCATCATATCACAATCTTCCAACAAATATGTTTGCCAAGCACATTGGCAACAGACAAATAAAGTTTTAATTAATGCACATAATAAATGATGTTAAATCCTCTATTCAAATAAGATTTTAGACAAAGGCTTGTAAGAAATATAGGGTTGTAATTGAAATTTACTGAATCTAGACTCATGCAACAAAAGGAGAATCTCTATAAAATTTCAATAGACATGAAAGAACCATAACAAGGATGAAATAGTGGACACCCAGAATAAAGAATTTACAACAACAAATCTCTTATGCTGGAAAAATGACATTTTTTCATTAGCTACTGACTAAAAATCCATAATGTCTCTTAATACTCCTTTGGTTGATAAAACCAAGTTTTAAGTTGAAGGAAATTGACAGAATTGTGCTCTTAACAAAGGATTACAATGACTAAAGTACCACAATACATCATGACGAAATCACAATCCAAATTTGTCCTAAGAGGACAATGCATGATACCTGACATGCGATGCTAACCCATGACATGCCAGAGTTTAGCACATGCATGATTTAATTCAAATACTTGATAATGATGTATACTTAATCAACTATAAGAATAATGATTCCTGCCACACTATATATATATATATATATATATATATATGATTCATCAAATGCCTTTTGACGTCAAACCTTTGAAAGCTAACAGAGGCCCACATTATATCTTATAATATATGGCCACCAAAACGTAAGCTTTGCCCCAAAACAATTTGAGGCATCATTAGTAAAGCTTTATAAGATAAGGAGAGGTAGGTGCTATGTGTTCTATAAAGTCATGTAAGATGTTTCAAAGAACTTACCAAAAAAAAAAGATGTTTCAAAGAAAAGATGGTCAAAGCACAGAGGGGGGAAAGTGTCACAACATGGTTTGTTTTTGAAAGAGCATCCTGGGAGGTGAATGTAAAGGAAGCCCCATTGCTTCCACTGAAAACGAGAACAGCTTGGTGATGGTTAAAAAAAGTGGGCACGGCAGGGATGCTGTAGGCATCTTTATGGAACAGATTAAGATTTGAATGTGGATGCGAATTTTAAAAGAACTCTAATTACCACAACTTCCACCTCAAAGATCTGATGAAGATTAAACTGTAATACTTAAAATTACTTCTAAAACAATTGCATGTCTAGGGTAAAGTATGTGATTAGTAATCCCCAACCTGCACTCAGAAAGCATGATTAATAAAAAATCCCGTGCTTGAGAAAATAATTCGACTTTAATGAACCTGCAACCATTAGTAACATTTCCAATCTCAATTAAACCGCAAAACCAATTAATTTTTTCGAAGAAATCAGACATCAAAACCTCCAAATAGAAAGCCGCACGGCAAATCCTCCCCATTACTTCCATTCCAGTGGACTATATAAATATTAATCTCGAATCAAAATCCACATGATATCAGGTAAAGAAAGACACCAATTGATCATCGAGCAACTGGACATGGAAGTAACAGATAAAAAGGAAAAATCAAGAATTTCCTGAGGAATCAATCTCTGCAGGTCACCTCCGTGAAAGTCAGACCACGCAAACAGGATAAAAATCACTACAACACCCGGCCCTAGAAGGATAAGCACAAAAGTCGACCTAATAACCGAAAGAACGGAAGAATCAATAGGTAGAGAGAGCGAGCTTACGATCGCGACCACCACGGACGCCTCCTCTCGAAGGATGGTACATGGCCTTCTCTCTGCCTCGTCTCCTTTCGGATGGAGGAAAGCACGGTATAGATCGGTGCGCCCTCTTTTATCTGTTCAGCCGCCGGCTGCGAAGGATGGTGACAGGATTTATGTTTCTTCGTCACCCGATTCAGCGTGCCCTTCGGCCCTACCTGCCGTTTTATTGGAGAATTTGTGGAGCCCACCGAGCCTGGGTTCGAGACCAGAACAGCCCCCGATCCGGATACCGAGTGAGCTCCGCGTTCCGGTCCGGTCGTGTTCGGATCCAATGTGAAGCGTAATCAATCAAAATGGCTCTCAACTTTCACCACATAAGTTTGTCTTATGACAATGAACCTGAATTCATTTGAAGTCACGTGTTCCAAGTTAACAAAACAAGCCGAGACTTCAGAGACGATCTAAATCGAATTAGAACTAACACATCAAGTTTTTATTTGATGCCCATGAAGTCAGACAAGTCTTAATGCACCCAAGATGGCAGATAAAGCTCATGAATAAATATGATTGCTGCTAATCATAAAGAAAAGAGCATTCACCAATTAGGGACCAGAATCTCTGGTTGATCAATTACATAGATTGAAGGTCTTTAAACTAGATTCGCATGTAGAGAAATCCCAAACATCCAGTGAAAGGTAAGGATAAATTTAGGACTATGGAATGATGCTTGATGTACATCATATATGGATATGAATTAGCCTTTTGGTTATGTTTTGGTAGGCATATGTGTACATGCAGCTATAGATACTGCTTGATTTCCCATCTATGAGAGGACAGGAATGATTGGGTCTAAAGGAGCTGCTACAATGTTCTGCTGCTAACATATATGCCTTCAGAAGATAAAAGAGGCATGACAAGGAACATTATACTGGTAGAAGACTTCTTTGCAAGAGGTGAAGAAAGCTTTATGGTGCCATGTGAAAACATGATCTACACCAGAGGTGGTGTTGAAGTTTCAGTAACTGGATACTAAGTGATGGATGACCAAATGCCATCAACAAGGCACAACTACACAACAGTTGCAAATTGAAATCAACAAACAGAGAAAAGAGAATGACAACAATGGACATATTTGAGCAAGCAAGACACCAGTGTCTGTGCTTCACTATCAAGAGAGAGAGAGAGAGAGAGAGAGAGAGAGTA